TACAAGCCAACTAGCCATATAAAAGCGACAGGATTCACATCCGCTCACCTTTGTTCCTATTTATATCGGCCTTCCTTTTATCTAAGAAGAGAAGAGAAGTGAATCTCTCAATCTTCAAAATAATTAACAACATTTTATTCCATATTTGTCTAAATTGAGCTAATTGGGAGTCGAAGAATTCAAATTTATCGAGATAAAGAAAGAATAGAGATTGATGAATGACTCAAAGACTATTCTTATTAAAAATTTACAAAAAATATCAAAAGGAATTGAAAGTTGTCTCTTTATTGGAGATTTTTATTTCACAAATTAGCATTTTCAAGGATTAAAAAAATAGAAGACTCTTCTTATAGAAAACTATAATTAAAAATGTAATTCCCGTTCTGATTTTTTGCTGGTAGAGATAATTTAATGTTAGACTGGGATGGGGAGGGGGGAGGTTAATATTTTAATTAATGAGATCAAAGTGTGACATAATAACTATTTTTGTTGACGATATTTAAATTAGTTAGTTAAATTTTCATTGGTAAAAAAAATAGATTGACTTATTTATAAGGGATATTAGAATAAAAACATTTATAAGTTTCTGTTTTCAGCAATGGTTTTATCTATTATAATACAATTGCAGAGTTGCTAAGATATCACGATTCGACCATATTGTATCCGATAGATTATTCTAGTAACAAATATCGAGCATTATGGGCAATAATTTTGACATATTCTTCTATAGTTGTCATATAAGACTATTATAATTGATATGTTTGTTTATTTATATTAATTCATAATAACAAATTTTATTCTTTAATAATCAATATAATTATTATAATAATTTAAAATATATATAAATTGAATAACAATAATTTTTCCTGTAAATTAAAAAATATGAATACATTAAATATGTTCTTGGAATGCTATTTTTTAAGCTTTTCCAATGCCTTTCAATAGTTTTAGTCACTCATGGTATCCTCCTTATATGATTTTCAATTTAAAGATAATATTATATCTATTATTCATGATAACGACCCGAACGTGGTAAAAGCCGTAGAATTAATTAAAAGTATTATGATTTGAATTGTGAGACAGTTTTATATGGTCATTGTTGTATGGCCCATATCCTAAACCTAATCGTTAAAGAGGGACTCATATTTTTGGAAGATAAATTAATAAATATAGAAGCGTTAGTTTTAAAATTACATATCTCGCCAAAATTATTGCAGTCATATCAATCTTTTAGGGGTTATTTAAAACAAGATGAAACAGTGTATAAATTATAATAAAAGCCATTAATAATGTATAAAATAAAAATATTTTTGTATATTTATTATATTCCTTTTCAAATTTTTTATATCTATTTACATAGAATATCAACGCAATACTACACCTCATCAAACTTGGGTTAAATGAACAATTTAAAATTCTTCGCAAATTTGGAAGAATTTCTAACACCATTTTATCAAATCACTGTAGAAATAAGCAGAAAATCTCTAACAATAAGGATGGCAATATTATTCTATAATAATTTTATAGATAATTTGAAAAATCAGGAGATAGGAATTCAGATGCTTCAATAAGAGAAGCGCAGCAACATTGATGAAAAAAAATACGACGAATATAGCCAATATATAATATCACCTAACAACTATGCTGCATCAATACTAGATCCTAGGATTAAAAATACAGTAATAGCTAATTTAATGCAGCAGTTAAAAATATGGCTATATTCAAAGATATTTATGCAAAATATATCACGGAGACATTACTTATTTAATAATAACAAGAATACCTCAACCTTAAAACTATTTCATTATTGGAGGGATTGAAAATAAGGTATATTTGTAATATAATTTGATTGAATTATTCTATGATTTTAAATTATTTTAAATTTATCTCTTTAGAAAGGTATCATCAAATGGTGATAGTGACATTCAGATAATGACCTATCATCTTGAGCAGGTGGTTCCCGAGACAATAAACGTGCTAAATTGATGAAGAGGGAATGCAAATGGATTTCCTCATTTAGCGAGCGAGAGACTTTCTATGTCAACAAACAACTTCCGTGGAGCGGAAGGAACTTTTTTTCCTGCCAGAAATACTATTACTAAATTGAGGAACAAGATGGCTACCTCCACCCTGAAACATTGCATATCGTTATTATCCTGTGATATAAATATAATGGGTCATCATGACGATATATGACAATAATTTGTTAAGCATAGTAATTATTTATTTTTTAATAAATAATTATATTTTTCGTAATATATTTAATAATAATTTTATATTTAAAATATTTTTTTAAACTGGTACTGTATATCCACAAGCAAGATACATTCCTGTTACTGATATTGCGATAAATGAAAAAATTCTATAATTATTTGATATTGTATTTTCTATTCTATTATATATATATTTATTTATTTAATTCAAATTTTAAAAATAAATATATTTCTACTCGTATTTCACCCCAATGTTAATATTCCTTGGTCATTAATTATAAATCTATAATGGTTGAATTTTAAGCTATAAACGGTCAATTACTAAAATAATATTAAGTTAAGATTAGTATATATATACATACATATGCGAAATCAAAATAAAGTAACTTTTTAAAATTTTATGCCAACAATGAGTTGCTATTAAAATTAATAAAAAAAACTATTAAATATATAGAGGAGGTATTTCTAAGAACGATTTTATTCTACGCTCGGCTTTCCCCTCTGAAAAAATAATTTTGTCGCTAAGATTTAGTTAAAGCATGCTGATTGTTGAGGATCAAAGTTTTAAAAAATAATGTGTTCAAGAGATAATTGTCGGTATTATAACTTAAAAATTTTGTAAAGTTGTAGTAGGTATCCTATAAACCCCACAAAATTTGAAGAGGGTTAACTATATATAAACTCTAATAATTATATATGTGAATTTAACATAGTCTGGAAGAGAAAAAATGGCTAGGTCAGAGTCCGATCAAAAGCGCCCCAATTTAAATAAATATTTCAAAGACCTGCACATGTACCATTTGTACGGCCCGGATTTTTTTTCAAAATTTATTTTCAGCCCTGCCCAGGTTTACTTTTTAAAAAACTTTTCAGGCCCGGCCCGGATTTTTTTAAATTATATTTTATTTATTTTTGATTTTTATAGCTAATAATGGTGATTTCAAAAATTTGATTTAAAAATATACGGCCCGGCCCGGATATTTTTTAAAAAAAATTTAGGTCCGGCCCTGCCCGGATATTTTTTTATAAAAAAATTTCAGATCCGGCCCTGGTATATTTAAAAAAATTAGGTCTCTGAAATATTTAAATGATTAGAAAATGGGATTAATGTAGATTAAAATAATAAACAAAGCTTTAAATTATAATTAGAATGTATAATAAGATTTAAGATTAGTAGATGAGATTTATTTTTTCTTAGTTTTCATTTAGTGGAGTTAATAAAATGATCATATATGGCAGCAGAGCAGATGAATGAATTTACATTGAATCACATTACTCTACCCGAGGTAGAGCTCTACAAATTCAATTTTTTCTAGCCTGAGCCCATTTCAATTTATTTTAAAATCCTATCTCAGTCATATCTATGAATTTTTAGGCACTAACACCTTCCTTTTAGTCCTGAGTCTGAAAATATTTTAATTTAATTTAAATAAAAAGCATTTTAATTTTTATATAATAAATTTAATACGAATTGTCCTTGTCTTAATCCCAGAAAACTTTAATTTATCCTTTATTTAAAAAAAAAGTGATTTTTTGAATCGTTGCAAAAGTCGTATTCGTATGGCTGAATAATCGCTCGGTTAACCAATATAATAACTTATTGTAACTATTATTGGTATTTTTAAACCCTAGCTCAACCCGATTAAGATTTTTTTAACCTAAAGCTGAGTTGCTTGCAGGTCTTAACCATCTAACTCCAGAAAACACCATTGCGCTTTGCTGCTTCCTTACCTTTGGTAAGTAATTTTTATTTAAACTATTTAGAATAACATTATTCATCTGAACCCTGGGCCAAAAACACGAGTCTATACATAGGTCTAAATCACGAGTCTGGGGTCTAAACCACTGGTCTGGACCCCGGGTCTAAGCCACGGGTCTGAATCCCAAGTCTAAACCATGGGTCTGAACCTCGGGTCTGTGTTCCGGGTTCGTTCTCAGAGTGCTCAGAGCAGGCCTGAGCATCAAATTGGGTTTAAATTTTACGAACAAGCATAACAACACTATCAGGCTATATATGCATTCTACTCTTGTTTGTCTATTTATGTATTGTATAAATAGTTTAATTAATTGATGGATTTTATTTTAATGTTTTCAAATATTGTTCCTAAATATAATTTTACAAGTCTAAATTATATTTATGAGAACCAAATTTCCGAAGGGGGGGTTGAATCCACTCGATCCTGACTACGCCTATGATGTCTAAGTTGTTTATTTTATTCTCAGCCAACTTAGCTCTAAATTTTATATTATCTTACTTTTTATTATGAGTGTGAGGTAGAGGTCTGCATGGGCGGGGTTTACCCTAAACGCCCGCCCATTGCTTTAAAAAATTTAACCACTAGTCCGCCCGCCTATGAGTTATTTTAATTCACTCATCCGTGACCGTCTATTATCAGAATATTTTATTTAACCAGCACCCACAGTGCTTTCTCCTCCTTTTATCAAAATCCTGGCTACGCCAATATTTAAAATTATTACAGATATTTATTTTCCCATGCTATGAATTATGATATGAGGCCAAACTATATGTTAAAATATATAAATTTAATTACATAACCTTGACATGGATCTTCAACTCTTAAATGGAAATTTATTAAAAATAGACAGATATTTTTAAAATATACTATTATTGTTTATTTAAATTCGACTTAATCTCACGAGAAAATTTATGGCTATTAATAAATTAATATTTGCTTCGATCATGATAGTGTTTAACTATTTAAAAATATCATTTTTTCCAAAAGAGTTTTAAGATAATGAAAAAAAAAGGATTCTTTAAATTCACACCTGAAACACTAGACAAAGAGGATCCTATCCCTTGAACGGCGCGAGCGACTAACAATAAATAAAACGATTTCCCATAGGCAAAGGCTGTTTTTTCACATTAGTAGTACATTTTTTAATATAGATTAATAAAAATATATAATCCATTGTGTAAAAAAATTACTTCAACATTTATAAAATAAAAGTTGAGAACACAAGCATATTATTGAGGTATAATATGTAGAGTTGTTATAAGTGTCATTACTAAACGACGTAAAATGACGCGAAAATGTAATATCAAAATTCGTATTTTTTTAAACTTATCAATACAAATTGCACTCTAAATGACACAAATTACACAAAAGCATATAAAATTTCGCAAAAAGAAAAAAAATATATAATATTTACGTAAAAATATGCCAAAAGCAAGCAAAAAGCATGTAAAATAACAAAACGATATGATAAATTTCCATTGCAAAATATGTAAAGAGCCCTCAAAACTGACATAACGCACCTAAATAACAAAAAAGCACGCAAAATTAAAATGAGAGACAAGCGTGCAAAATAAGGCATAACGATATAATAAAGTTTAATTTAAAACTGTTAAAATATATTTTGATATAAAATGAATAATTGTATAATTAAAAAGGTAACAATTGTCATTTAAAAAAAATTTTTTGTCGACATTTAAAAATTCTTAAAATATTTTAGCAAAATTTCGGTGATAATGTAATTTACAAATGTGGTGATTAATTGTCTTAATCGTCATTTATTTAATTTTCTCTAGCTGTAGTTAAAAATGATATTTAAATATATTTTGGTATAAATTAAATTCAGAGTTATATAATTCATAAAGGTGACGATTTTATAATCGACATTTTGAATTTTTTTTAATGAGAATTGATATTTTAAAATATATTTGGCATGATAATGATAATATAATTCACAAAGGTGGCAATTGTCAGAATTGTTAAAGTAGAACGTTATTATTTTAAATAAAAAAAATAGCAATAACGATAGCGCTCTCCTTTTTAGAGTGGCTACTTCGCTACTTTAAAATTTTATATAATAAATATAAGCTATAAAAAACAAAAATTTATTTCTAATTTGAAGAAGCTTTATAAATCTAATTTATCAAGTAATTTAAAATATAAAATACTAAGATAATTTTGAGAAAAATGATAACCACAAAATTTCACTAGTAAATGATATTTTGGAATTACCTTTCACCAGATTTGCAAAAAATTTTGAACTTAATAAAAAATTGATATAGGATTTAAATTTAGATGCATAAATAACAAGGACAATATTGTTCAATAAATCAAGGGCTACCGAAAAATGTATAAAGATGTTATTCATAAAATTGCTATATATAGAGATTTAAATGACGCTTCTAGCTCAATAATATTCAAAAATATCTAAAATTAAAGGGAGAGCCTTTTGCTCAAAACGCCCAATTTTTCCAACCTTTAGAAACCCGTATCTCAACCGCTGTTTAAGAGCTACAGGTTAAAATTTTATTTTTTTCTTAGTTAAAATATATGCAAACTCACTCTAGTACAAATATTAGAAAAATCTGAGAGGGTCGGGTTGAAGCTCATGTTGATTTGTCATGGAATTCATATATTTGATGGTGATTCTGAATATAATTAAAAAGAAAATTCTTCAAATTTTACAAAAACATTTTTAATTAATCTTAAAAAAAGTAAATATTATATATCTAATTTAATGAGGATTTTAAATATGTATATATATACTAGCTGATAACCCGTCAAGAATGACGGGGAATAACACATATCCCTTATTTGACGATGGGTAAATCAGAATTTTGCCCTTTATTTGATTATGGATGTTAGAAATCAACTTATTTTATATGAGTTGTGAATAAGAAATTTACTTTTATTTAAATGAAAGATTATTTTGAGATGTTCTATTATTTTTATATATGTTAGTGAAGAATATATTTAGTACCTTCATTATACATATAATTAGATCATATTTGTATATTTTCAATAAATCTATATTACATTATTTCTAATAAAATTGTCTTTAGATGCCAATTAAAAATATTTTCTACATTTATAAATTTAAGGCCTAAATAAATGTATCCTGATAGCTGAGGGGTTTGTATACTTTTTCAAAAATTGTATGTGCACTTTTCACTCATTTTTATTTACAATTTAAAACCTAAAAAATGTAATCTAGCTAGATGAGGGTTTTGTATATAATATTACTTTATATTTAAAGTTAAAAAAAATTGCGAGAAAAGCAAAATATAATATAAAATTTTATATGTAATCCCAGTGCGCATAGTAGCTCAAGCCTAAAACGTCTGCTTTTGAAACAGAGGTTCCGGGTTCGATACTGATAAAGCAAAAATTAACAATACATTATATAATCTTCTAAAATTTTAATACGTTAAGATGATATGGAAATTTTCATGTTTTGATTATGGACATCATATATATTAGATTTGTTTATTAATTAAATATGCTCAATTATCTAATTACAGTCTTTGCTCAAAAACTGTAAGTTTTTATTAAACAATATTATTTTTTTTACATTTTCGTGATTTTAAATATTTTCTATATTTTGTTTTTTACATTTCGTGATTTTTTTAATTTACATGATTTTAGCCTTATATTTTCTATATTTTTTTATATTTTCGGGCATGTTCCCCAAAATCTAGAATGGATACTATTTAGCCAAAATCACGAAAATTTAAAAATATAGAAAATATTTGGCCAAATCACGAAAACGAAAAAAATTATGAAGATGAAAAAAATCAGCAAAATTAAAAAAAATGTATAAAATATTTGGCCAAAATCACGGAAATTAAAAAAATTACGAAAAAGTAAATAGAATATATAAAATATTTCGCCAAAATCATAGAAATTAAAAAAATACGAAAATGTAAAAACAATATTACTTGGCCAAAATCAAGAATATAAAAAAAATTAATATTTTTGATAAAAACTTCCAGTTTCTGAGCAAAAATTGCAATTAGATTAATATTTAATTAATTAATAAATATAAATATATTTACATATTTAAAATCCTCATTAAATAATATTTACCTAAATACAAAATTTTTAAAATTAATAAAAAATATTTTGTAAATTTTTTAAAAAATATATCAATTTATTTATATATATTATATCCTATTTGCAGTTTTAATGATGGATATATCGATATATAATATTTTGCTTAAAAAAATGTTTTTTTGAAAATAATTATTTATAAAAGTTTTAAGAAAATATAGAAATTTATATATATTTAGAATTTCCGTAAAATTTTCAATTTAATGATGTTCATATCAATATATATTATTTAGGTATAAAAAAAATTAATTAAAAATATATTTGTACAATAAAATTTGCTGATAATTAATATATATATTTTTTATTTATTTAGGTTTTCACATAATTATATCAAAAAAAATTTTCTCTATAAATATTTCAGATATTTTAGCAATATTAATATAGAATATTAAAATTTATTGGTGAAGATATTTAATATTATTATATTTTAGATACAAATATTGTTTCAGTGACAAAGATTACATTGTTTTAGTTAGATATTTGTGTTTTTAAGGTTTGGGAATTAATGTTTGGTTAAATTACTGGATGAGTTATATTTTTTTTATATATCTAAATCAACTTTCTAGGATATATTTTTCATGGAAATAGGGGTACAATAACGAAAATATACAAGCTAAATGACACGTGGATAAAGAGATCGGTGATGGAGTCGGTAGGCGAAAACATGAACTACGGCGATGGCGATAATTTTTCCAAAACATATTTTGAAAATAGAAATTGCATTACACGTTAATTAATCAAATAAATATAATATATCCATCTAACCTCCACATTCCAGCTTTAATTTATATATATATACATATTTATACCATTTAAATGTATATTCCTTAATCTATACATATAACTGTATATTAATACACTTACTATGTAACCACAAATAACTTATTGTTTTAATGTTATATATTATATTTTTTATCTTTTACTAAAAATTCGTTGGTGTTTTATACATTTGTCAATAAAATTTGGATATTAATAAATAAACATGAGAATTACAATATATAATTTACACTTGCATTTTTATTAAAATATTCTTATTTAATCAGGTTAATATTCTTATATTGTTAATTAATCATCACCATAGAATATGATGGAACGATATATTTAATTTTTAAAAAACCCTTGTGTAAAATATTAAAAATTATATCTCAGTATATTTAGCAAAGATAGACCCCATAATTATCTTTAAATATAAATAAGAATACTACTTAATAATAGAAATTTTATAATATTTTATTAATTTTGTATACGATTTTTAAAGAAAAATCAATTGATATTGTTCTTCGCGGGACTTCTATTTGTGAATAATTCCATGTATATTTATACCAAAACGCCTATCAAAAGTTAACATTTTATGATTGGTTTCAATTTTATGAAAATTTCTCATTTTTTTTATAAAAACATCATTATTAAATTTCTTGAAATCATTATAAAAATTTATGGTTTTTATATAAATTTATTATTAAAGATTTTGAAATTATGTAAAATTTCTTAAAATTATTATTGAATATTTTGAAATTATTATAAAATTTCTCAAGATTATTATTGAATAATAAAATTTCTGGATTATGATTAGAGTATAGATATCGAAATTAAAGTTATTGAATAATTATCTAATTGAGTAAGTTCTAATTTCTCCTTATGTATTAGTTTTTTTTTTATCTAAGTTCAATTTTTTATGAATCTTCTTTATTGTGAATGTATTGAAGTTCAGTATTTTTTTTGCTATATTTTTTAATTTTATTAGATATTATAATAGGTATTTAAACTTAAACAAATAACCTCTCAAATGAATTAAAAAAATAAATAACGTATGAATTTACTTTTCTTTATTAATTATATTTGTGATTTTGATATACATATTTATTAAAAATAGTCTATTATAGCTAATGTTATCCAAAAAATCTTTCATCTATTCTATCGGCTTTATAGTAAAACTCTATAAAATTGTAATTATAGTGCTATAATTTATCGGCTACAAAATTAAAATAAAATACCGATCTTAAATTT